TACTGTGGATCTCTCTACTCTCAGGCAATGGAAGCTTCATACAGAACTAAGTGAAGTTGTTATAAGGAGCATTATGCCTTGCTGAAGTAGGAATGTGCATCGTAGAATTGCCCAAAGGGCTGTTAGAAAGATCAATGGAGATTGCTCACTGCTACAGAGTGTCAGTTCAATGAGGTAGTTGAACAGCTTATGAGGACAGAGGATCAAAATCAATGCATACAATGCAACTCAAACAGTACAAACAGAGTTACGGCTTTAGAGAAAGAGATTCAAAGTAGGAGGTAACCTTGGAGATATAGTTGCAATGTTGAATGGTCTTGCAGAGATGATCCTTGTGTGTCCATTTGCATGTCTGGGGAACTGTGGCACCAGTCCGTCACCTCTTTCACAATGTCCAACTGTGATTGCACACATGCTCTTCGTGCCATACCGGAGAACAGAGTCTGTAAGTCAGCTCGTCAAAGAGCACTCAACAGTTCAGAGGGTCTGACTATGGAAGAGAGGGAACTGCTGCAGAGGTTTCTGGACACACAGAGTGCCCTGGTTTCAGTTCAAACTGACTTGAGAAAGGCAGAGCTCGAAAACGAAATGTATCTTGAGAAAAAAGACCAGCTAAATACGAGCCTTATAAGATTTAGAGATGAACACAACAGATCCATGGATGTGTACAATAGTGTGCTTGAGGAGGTGGAGACATTGGTTGGGATATATGAAAGTGGGAAGGGAAGTGGATTTGAGAACATATTCATAATCAGGTCCATCATGTTTAGCACGAGACTGACTGAGAACCCCACATCCTTAGCCTTGAATGTAGCATTTCAGAAGCAAATCGGTGATGTTTCCGAAGATTATCAAGGATCTTACCTGTTCATTTCAAGTCATTCTGAAGCCATCAACATTGAGAGAATTGCTAATGACATAATAGATGTGGTGTTCACAAACTCAAGATATAGACTAGTAGCTTGTAGCAACAGTGAAACATTGAGTAATGCCGAGTGTCGGTGTAAACCTGGAAATGAGCAAGAATGCATTGGTAAGCTTAAGAGTATCCCAAATTATGTCGCTAATATTTAATGCTGTCCGTGTTCTCAGCATGTCCATTAGGTCAGTTTAGATCAGGTGAAGATTGCCAGCCATGTCCTGAAAACACTGCCTTTCCTCTGCAACCTTCACATATCTGCCCTTGTAAAGTGGGCTACTTCAGAAACACTGCGAGCCATCCCGACAGAGTCCAGTTTGAAGACCCCATTAACGAGGAAGCCAGTCACAAGTGTACAAGTAAGCAAACACCTGGATTTGTAAGAATCACATGATAATCGTTTCTTTCAGAGCCACCCAGTGCTCCACAGAATGTGTCAATCGTCGTAACAAACACTACCCTAACTGTTAGCTTGTCACAACCTGTTGAAGACGGTGGGAGGACTGATCTCTACTATCAGGTGGAATGGAGTGGCAGTAACCCACTTGAGCTCTCTGGCAGTGTCTACGTCAGTGGGTCGTCAAGGACTAGAACATTCACTGGTCTCAAACCGTTCACAAAGTACTGTGTTAGGGTGACTGCCCACAACGGAGTCAGTGACCAGGATCATCTGGGGTTGAGTCTCAGGAGAGTGATGGAGTGTGCCGTTACTCTACCTGCTGGTATGCCATGAGAAGCATTCTTTGTGCATTGTTTGTTAGCTACCAACTATCTGTTCTTTCAGTGCCTAGTGTAGTGACTGGTGTGCAGGGAGCATATCCGTATGTGGTGTGGAACCCTCCAGAGGAGCCAAACGGAATCATCACCAATTACTCCCTGACCTTCACTTGCTGTGGATCGAAAAATACAATAACTACTATCAATGATTGGCCCTTCTATGTCGTTCAACCGTCTGATTGCCCCTGCTCGTCAGAGTCCATCAATATAACAGTTAGTTCGTGACCAAAAAGAAATTTCTTAGATGTTTATCATTTCAGGTCTCTGCGGTAAACAGTGTTGGAAAGGGGCTTCCATCTGAATATTTCAATCTTTTATGTATGTTGTTAGAAGGTTCAAAGTTTAAATCGTACTTGTGTATAGGAAAAAGAGATGTATGAAGCAAAGATTAACAACACATTATCTCTTTCTACAGCTCCATGTTCAACTCCATCTCTACCTACTGTCCGTAACGGTTTGTGAAAATCTTCCTACCTACACACTGTGTTCTGTGTATTTGTGCATGCATAGATAGGAGAATACATAATGAAAAGCACTAAAGTGCAAACTCTCACGGCGAACTGCGGTACCGCTAAAGTATGGGGTGGGTTGCAAATAGTATCCGTGGTCTCCTGCTTGTAGCTAGCAGAGAGCCTGACACGGGCTAGCGACAGTAGTAGATCGTATGCTGTGACTCTTGTGGTCCTACCCTTGATCCCTGCTCTGATGACACTGGTTAGTGTATCTAATTATCACGGTAACTCTTTTATAAGAAGTAGCTATATATAGTCCTGAGTTTGCAGGTGTTAAACTGGCATTCACTACCTAAGGTTACATATTAAGTGCTCTATCTGAGAGGAGAGAAAAATCAGTTGACAGGCAAAGACTGGGACAGTTAAAATGAGATTGTCACTGTATAACCTTGCATCTACAACTCTTTATCCCCGATACCCTGCCAGAGATATGCCAGCTACCTTGTGTCAATGGAATGTGCAATACCACCACTGGAGACTGTGACTGCTCTCCTGGATATACTGGTGTTGTCTGTGATGAAGGTAAACTAGCTACCACTTCCATCATTCTATAAAAATTCCAGCAAATCTTCAGATATACGGGAGTGTGAGGACAATAACGGAGGCTGTGATCACATCTGCACTGACTTTCCCGGTGGCTACAACTGTTCATGCAAACCTGGGTTCACTCAACTTACCTCAAATGGAAGCTCTTGCCAAGGTAGCTTATGACAGTAGCTACACTGTATTTAACCCTTGCATGCAGACACTGATGAGTGCGGGGGTGGGAGCCATGACTGCAGTCAGATCTGTGTCAACACTCCTGGATCATACAACTGCAACTGTCAGCGTGGCTTTCAGCTAGTCGGTGGCACAGAGTGTGAAGGTACTGATTATATCCTGTTCACGATAGCTGGATGCATACTGTCATACATCTACTGCAGATTTGAATGAATGTGAAGCCTTTCCTAATGGTTTTTGCAATCAAGTGTGTGTTAACACTGAGGGATCTTCTCACTGTGACTGTAGAGAGGGATACCGCCTGTTTGGATCGTCTTTCTGCACAGGTATTGTTTTTGGTACAGATTTTGAAGAATCAATGGAGAAACGCCCTTTGCAGATATTGATGAGTGCAGTGAAGGGATTGATACATGCAGTAAGATTGGACCCACACCGGCTCGCTGTATCAACACTGAAGGGAGCTACAGGTGTACATGTGATGAGTATATTGGGTACCGTTTGTCTACCAGTGGTACCACTTGTGAAGGTATGTGCATATACATTTCTCTGCAACACAGAGTAATGTTTTTGCTTGTAAACTGCTTCAGATGTGGATGAATGTGCTGAAGGACCGTTCCTCTGTACAGAGACCTGTATGAACACACCTGGTTCCTACAGCTGCTCTTGCCCTGGAGGATATGATCTTGATGTGGATCAAATATCCTGCAGAGGTTAGTTGAGTTAATAAAAATACTTGGCGATGAAGAGTTTATCTGAACAGATATTGATGAGTGTATAAACATGAATGGTGGCTGCCAGCATTCCTGTACCAACACACCTGGCAGCTTCAGATGTAGCTGTGAGCAGGGATATAGGCTGTTGGATGATGGATTACAGTGTGAAGGTAAAGTATGCATGAAAAAGACACAGTTTCTGACATGGCAACATCCACAGCTCTCAGTTGTGATCCGGTTCTTGAAGCTCCACTGAATGGTGAAATGGAGTGTGACAGACAGACAGTGGGTGGGACTTGCAGGTTCACCTGTGACGAGGGCTACACTCTGAGAGGCTCAGACAGTCGGACATGTCTCCCCTCCCTCCAGTGGAAGGAACCTCCTGCCATATGTGACCCTCCAATGTGCCCTCACCTCACTCCTCCTGAAAATGGATTTGTGTCGTTCCCATGTACCAGAGAGGAGGGCCATCTGTGTCATGTTGTGTGTGCCCATGGCTACAGCTTAGTGGGTCCAAGCAGTCAGACATGTAGAAAGGATAACATGGGCAGTCTTGTGTGGAGTGATGGACCACAGTGTGTGGGTGAGTCTACTCTGCAATTTTTGACAAGCAATGGTTGGGTAGTTGCATGCTTTTCCCTATCACTAAGTACGGTAGTACTTAGTATATAGGGATTGACAGGTACCTAGCATCATAGATGTATGGGGCTATGATAGGGAGTTTTGTTCATCATCATCATCTTCTTCTTCTTCTTCTTCCTGTTCGACCAGCGTAACTAAAAAACCGAAAGAGATAAAGCCATGAAATTTTGTAGGAATGTACATATCGATAACCACATGTGCAACGTCATACTTTTTTGTTTGTAAACAATGTTGTTTACTGTAAACAACAACAAAATGCCCCAGGCAATACATTATAATGGCCAATACTTTATAATGGGCATACTACATTATTCAGTATAACTCACAATTGGTAAGAGTTATGTGAGCGAAAGTTTGTATACACAATGTATTCAATAGCCAACATCCAAATCACAACAATACATGTTTGTAAATAACAACAAATAGCCTCAGGCACTTTTCTTTAAAATAACTTCTTCACTTCTCAAACATTCCAATGGTAGCACGCATAGAGATGAAATTTGGTACGTATGCCTATTTTATCATTTCCAAAACGATTACATGTTTCCATGACGACCGCATAATGTTCGAAAAGGCCTCAGGCAATTTACTTTAAATTACTTCTTCACTCCTCAAACTTGCTAACTGTAGCACGCATGGAGGTAAAACTAGGTGCGCATGTGTATTACATCGTTTCCATGACGACCACAATAATAAATAGCCTCAGGCACTTTTCTTTTGAAATTACTTCTACACGTCTCAAACTCCTTAATGGTAGGACGCATAGAGATGAAACTTGGTACGTATGCCTATTATATCATTTCCATGACAACTACATGTTTCCATGACGACGGCATACTGTTTGAAGAAAACTCAGACGATTATCTTTATAATTACTTCCTCACTCCTCAAACTCCCACGCATGGAGGTGAAACTTGGTGCCCATGTGTATTACATCGGTTCCATGACGACCACAACAACAAATAGCCTGAGGCACTTTTCTTTAAAATTACTTCTTCATCCTAAAACTTGCTAACTGTAGCACGCATGGAGATGGAACTTGGTACGCATGTGTGTAACATCGTTTCCATGACGACCACAGCAACAAATAGCCTCAGGCACTTTTCCTTAAAATTACTTCTTCACTCCTCAAACTTGCTAACGGCAGCACACATGGAGATGAAACATAGTATGCATATCATTTCCATCACGACAACAGGCATTTTTTCTCTATTTAATTTTTATAGGGGCTTGCCCCCTTCCACAGAGATAATACGTAGTAATATATAAAAATGAGTGGAGACAAGTAAATTAAATATCCTGCGAATAAAAAAAAAGAGGCATATAGGGATGGTATAAAAAGAAAGGGAGACAAGATAGGGATTGGATACATGAAGCATGGTTAATGAACAGATTTGAGTATGCTGACACCCCCAACCCCATCACACCATCCCTATATTGTTGCCTAGGTGAAGTATTAAACATTCACCATTACAATACTCAGAACTTACAATGCACTACTGAGTAACCAACACCCTTATAGAGTCCAAGTGGAGTTTTTATAAAGGGAATGTGGCAGTATATATGTTACTAAAAACAACAGGGACACGGTGAAAGAATGTTTGCTTTAGTAACCTTTAGCCCCTATAAGAGTAGCACACCAGGCAACAATATAGGGATGGTGTGATGGAGTTGGGGGTGTCAGCATACTCAAATCTGTTCATTAACCATGCTTCGTGTATCCAATCCCTATCTTGTCTCCCTTTCTTTTTATACCATCCCTATATGCCTCTTTTTAAATTCGCAGGATTTTTTATTTATCAAGCTATGCCACATAAGCAATTGTGTTCAATGCCGCTCCAATGTAAAAATGATTAATTTTGTATGCAAAGTGTTTCCATAACTATAGGTAAAACACTATAATGTTCCAAGTGAAAGCACTTGATAATGTTTCCATTCAGAGAGTGGTCTATGTTACCCAAATCCTTGTCTGAATGGAGGATATTGTATCGAGGCTGGCACTGAGTTTAGATGTGTGTGCAATGGAACTGCAACTGGTTATGGTGGACAGACTTGTGGAGCAGTTATTGTATACTTCCCACCAATCCCACCAGTGACTGATGGAGTATTTATTCCGATCGTGCTGTACACCAATGTTAATGAACTCCCTGATGGATTTGTTGACAGACAAAGAGTAGATGTTAAACTTCCCAACCAGGAGAAATTGCGGGCAATAGTAGATATAGAAAGACGAGAAAGGAATCCAACAAGTGTAAGAGGTGCAATAGGTGTACTCACACTTAGTCTGCCATCGAATACTGACCGAGTCATCTATCTGCCAAGCGAGAGAAATGTATTAGTAACTGGAGGATATAATAACGAGAGACCATCGTATTTTGAACAGTTAAATCTCACAAGAGGACAGCTGCAGCCAAGTTGTTGCAGTGCAGATGATCATGTCACACTATCCTGTCCTGGAGACTCCACTCAGACAATATCACTGCTATCACCATGTCAGTGGACTACCACTGTTAAGGGTGTTACAAGAACAGATGCTGGTGTTATTTTTGTTCAGAGTAGTAACCTATCTCTGCCAACTTCTCTTTCCAGCTTCAGATACAGAGATGTTTCTGGACGTTACACCAATAACATAAGGCTAGAAATTGGTAACTGTGTAGCTTGCCATGAATGCAGCAGTACCAATAGCCATTGCTCCTGTTATGATCACACACCAGATGACACTGTGGAGTTTCTCCAAGCTAGAGCCTTGGCCTTCACTTACATAAATCAAATCCAGACATTACTTCCATCCTGGTTGGAGCTGTTTGTGGATTTAGAGTTGTCGTTAGAGTCGATTGCACCAACTAAAAACGACTTGTTTGCACCAGTCACTCGACCCAGTGAGCAAATTTCCTCATTTGAAGGTTGTGACAAACTAACAAACCTGGAAGGTAGTAGGTATTCAGTGTTGAGATATGACAAAACTCTATCAGCAGTGATAGATGGCCAGAGATATGACTACAGAGAGGACAATGAGACTGGGACCACTGGAGATGTCATGTGTTTTGCAGTTGACTTGTGTCATGAATCAGAGTCTCCAGTTCACATGCAGATCTCCCAGCCAATCAATGACATTCTAGTCTACCAGTATCTCCGTGGGTTCACTGACAGACAGTGGAAGATTCTCCTCAATACTGTGTCAGTCTTCAAACAGTCTGTTACTCAAAGTAGTCGATCTATATTTTGGAATGGAGTGGAAATGATCCTTTTCCCTGACATAGAGACTGATGTTTCAGTTAATGGATATCTTTTATCCAAATTTCATGATGATATGATCAATATGGAGGTTGAGTTTAATGGAGATGCTTCACTCAACTATACAGTTAGTAAAAAGACTGTATAAATATTCTTTTATTCTTGTGTCATGTAGAAGCGAGAGGGACTACTCAATGGAGAAGTTACATTGCAGGTAACCAGCATGATTGCTGGAAATAGACAAATCTTTAAAATCAGCAGCCCAAGGAGCACAGAGGCCTATGTTCACATTGGAAGTAAGGATTATATTCTTAATAATTTTTACCGTTTCCCCTCATCTTCATATTACTTAGATGTTGATCCTTGCAATAATAAAGGATATGGACTTTCATTCACAGCAAGTTACCAGCCACAACCTGGTGAGCTGTTCTTCACGCGACTTCTTCGATTCACTGAAATCACTCAGAGCTGTAGCTTCAGTGCCTTCTTGCCAATAACCAGCGACTACAGAGCTCTTGGTCTCAGTCTACACACTGAGTGTCCTCTTCTTGCTATTGGACACCTTATCTTGCCTGAAATGTCCCACACCATCACCTTCATTGGATCAGAGAATCCTAACTGCTTCACCAGTAACTTCCTTAAAGTTCCAGACCCAGCTCTTGTGATTGAATCTGAGTTGGTCAACAATTGCTTGCCTCTTGGGAACATCATTGAACTTCAGGCCAACTCTACAGGTCCTGATGTAGTGACTGTCTTTGGAAGAGAGGATTCCGGACCAGTCTCTCAGTTTCATTCAGTACAAGTGACTCTGTTTGGAGGAGTGTTTGAGTAGAGGCCACCGTCAGGAATGATCAGCTGACAATCTCCACCAGTAGTGGTAGTGTGTTTGGCTATCCAGCTGAGCTGACCATCACTGCACCTTCCAACAAGACTGACTGGCAGGACCTGGAATTGACTGTGGATGGCTCTCTACTCCCAGGCAATGGCAGCTTCATGCAGAAACTGAGTAAAGCTGTTACAAGAAAACTGCAGAACCTTGCTCAATCAGCAAATTCACGACGAGAAGTAGCTCAGATGTCTCTTCATCAGTCAGAAGAGAGGCTGCTTGCATGTGAGGAACGATACAACCAGACAGTTGCAAATTTGTCCGTGGCTGAACAAAAGAGAGATGCTGCTAGTAAAAACCTTGGAATAGCCACAATGAGCTATCGAGAGGTAGAGCAGCAGTTGAATGACAGTCAAGATCAGCTACAGGACAGTGACAAATTGTGCACTGAAGAGATTTGTATGGATGTTTGTATGCCTGGAGTAGTGTGCAGGAGCTGCTCCAAACCTACCTTCATACGAAAGACTGTCAACAATTGCATTGTCAGAGTCTTTAACTCTTTAGTCGAAAGCACATGTTGTGAGAATGTGCCGTGTGCTGTGAGAGCACCAGATCCCTCGTGTATTGCAAGGAATGAAATGTGTGGAGCCATGCAGCACCAGAGTGCTGTAGACAGTTTACAGAACAGGAGAGACGTGTTTCAGGAGTTTCTTGAAGCTCAGAGGAACCTGTCTTTGGCCAAAGCTGCACATAAGAAGGCAGGAGATGAGCACAGCATATACGAGAATAGGGCGCGACAGCTGGTTGTGATGTTAGAAAAACTTCAAGATGCACACAATAATTCCCTGACAGTTTATGAAAGAACACTGGAAAGTGTTGAACCTCTGCTGAGACTCTTTGGAAATCGACCATGGCAATGGGTATCAGAATGTCTTTAACATCAATCATGTCACATTCAATACGAAATTAACCAACAGTCCAACATCCTTGGCCTTCAATGTGGTGTTTCAGAATCTGATAGACAACAGTGGAACTGAGTACCGAGAATCATACCTGTACATTTCAACACAACCAGAAGCAGTCAACCTTGAAAGAATGGGCGATGACATAATAGACACAGCATTCATTGGAGACTCCAAGCGAAGCATGTTGCCACAGACAAGGCTGAGGAGACAGACAGCAGCAGCAGCTGCGGCAGGAACAGAAGGAACCTGAAAACTGACTTCATTCATCATTGAGTGATTGCTGACAGTTGTGCTGATCATTGTAGCTATGTAGTTTTAATTAAAGGACCATGCAATTTGTGCATGCCATTTCAGGTTTCTATTGTGTCGATTTTGATTTTGATCAGCATGTAGTTGTTACGAATGTGGCTGTGAGATTATTCTCAGGGACAGAGCCACGATCCAATCCTCTGCAAAGTAGGAGAACGAATATATTGAAAGTAGTTTCCTATATTATAGGGGTTTAAATCTTCAGCACAATGCAACACAGACTAAGACAAACCTCTAACCACTGTGCTATGGTGCAGAATACTATAGTCTCACTCAGTATGAGGTGTGTATACTTCTTGTAGTGTATAACAACTTATGTTTGCAGGAAAACAAGTATCGCTGACCTGTCGTAGCAGGTGTTCTGTCCAGGTATGGCATATGTGGCACTGTCACGTGTGAAGCAGCTGGAGAACCTGCATCTGATTGCATTCAAAGACGAAGCAATCAAGGTCAGTGCCAAGTGTCTGCAAGAAATCAATCGATTCAGACAGGCATTCCGTCCCGATCTGCCTCAGTACACTGTTCCACGGCAGTGTACAATGCAGACCAGAAAGCGAAAACTGACTGGCGCTCTGAAAACTGAAGCTCCCAGTGCAAAGCGTAGCAGAAAATGCTCAGCTGGGAGTAAAAAAAATGATGTGCCACCAGCAGCAGCTCCTCCTCCTCCTAAAAGTCCTGAAAAGGAGGGTTCCAAGAGGAGCTCCAATTCAGTCGAGCAGTTGCTACAAAGCGGAGAAGGCTCACGTACAACGTTGAACCTGGGCAAATTAACGCAGATACAATCCTGTGTCTGTGGATCTACAACGGCAGATTTGTGGAAATTTATGCCTGAATTTCATTCAGGGAAATGAATGTGTTCCAGGCGGACCTGACGTAAGTCTAAAACCGCCCACCTGCATGGAATCCATGGGAGGGGATGGCAACTGCTTGTTTCGTGCACTGCCGTATGCAATCACGGGATGTGAAAGTCAGCACCGTGTGGTATGTCGCCAGATAGTTGAACACCTCACGACAGAGAGATGTTGGCGACTGCTAGAGAACTACATTCCCACTGACGACACCATAGAGGAATATGTGCAGCGTACACACATGGGACGAAATGGTGTGTGGGGAACAAGTGTGGAGATGTTGGCATTTGCTCACCTGGCTGAGGTGAACATTGCCTCGTACAATAATGACGATGGTTCGTACCACTTCTTTGGTCCGGCTGTGATAGACCCAGAGGGGTTCCAACATGACAACTCGAGGCCCATTGGTGGCAATCACTTCAATGTGACTCTCTCACAGGACTAGAAACAGGCCACCAACCAGTGCCCATGCACTTGCTATGGGCACGTTTATCGTTATGCTCTCTGTCAATACAGTGAGTGGCTATACCATGCAGATTAAAATGGGACCAACAGACGAATTAACAATGGAAGAAGACCATTGTTTTACATTGCCAGAGGATTTTATGGTGGTGAAGGAGGAGGTGGAGGGCAACACATTTCAATGTGTATATACATGTGTGCAGTTGAAAATTCTGTACTCTTTTTACTGCACAGGACTGTGGCAGTAATGGTGATCTGACGACTGACTCCATGAATGCAAGGAGCCAGTCGAGGTGCCATAAATGTTGAGGTAGTATATACATCATGTTGTATACAATGTGTACAACTGAATGGCCTCAGCATTGTATATACCGAAATTCCGGTGGCTGAAAGCATACCAATCCCAGTGCGAGTCATGGTAGAGAAGAGGCCATGGGCTAGGGGTGAGAATTAGGCCAGCATCGTTTTGAGCATGGAGCACAATTCCTGCATTAGGCTTGGACACTATAGCACATAATTTGGACAAATCAGAATAGTATGCAGAACTGGGGAAATTGGTGTTAAAGTTACAAAAGCTCTGCAAAATGCATCCCAGTGCACCTAAAAGTCTGACCTCCCATTGAAATTTAGTATGGCATATTAATATTTGAATAGAGAAAGTTCAATAGCATTTTATATTCTCACCCCGACCATGGGCCTAATGGATAGACCTCCTTGAGAGGTCGGGAGAACCTCCTTCAGAGAGGTCGAGAGCGAGGTCATGGGCTTGCCCATGCCTCCTGGATAGACCTACAAAAGGTCAATAGTGTACTTGAAGTACACAAGTAGGGATGCTTGCATCCTGAGAGACCATGACAATGACCACTGGGTTAAGGCACTTCTATTGTGCTGGGGAAAAAACATGTAGACAAAAGACAATTTTACTAGCAGCTCCCATAGCAATAGTATATGCATCTAGTGTGAAGGAATTTCTACTACACGAACAAATAGTGCATACACAGAAACATTCAGGACCCACACAAAGCCCTAGGTACAAAGCTGTTATAGTGTATGTCATAATACACGAAGTATTACTTATGAGCACCTACATTCCACATGCTTGTATATAGTAGTCGTAAAAGCTGCCTGATCACCAGAGAATATGCAATGTCTAATCTGCACTTTCCTCTTTATTTCACAGCACCTACCTCAGAGAATGCACAGCCCACACACACACTCACAGGAATTGGCATATGGTTTCTCTTTTTCAACTCCAGACTCTTAATTCGGACGCATCACCCCTAAAGAGTTCAATTGGCATTTTAAGCAAATCCAAAAAAATCATTGTTGCATTAAAAACACAGGAGAAATACACTGTTCTTTATTTTGTTTTCTACTCGTGCCATTCACATCTTCATTCACATCTTCACTTGCACACACAGCTTCACGCATCACGCTATGGGCTGCACTCTCTCCCACCTCCCCGTGGTGCAGTCTGGGAACTTCAGCATGTCTCACACTGATGCTAAGTGGAGAGAATTTCTAGTGACATAATATTGACAATATTATGAAGTTTTGAAAAACTATTACTGAACGCGCTTGCACTAGAAAAGACGTGATACGATGCAGACCAAAAGGTGCGTGTGAGCAGGGGTGGGTATTATATAGAAAATTTGCATGTGAGCCTGTCTGATCTGCACCAGGGTCAGACAACCTTTCCTTTAACTCTGGAGCATAACGGGTTTATTTCATTGGCATAAAGCCCCCGGGTCGCGCCTGGCCGCCCGCCCGCCGGACTATCGGTTACGCGGTTTAAAGTTGGCGTGGTCACCAGAGGCTATGCAATACAGAGCCAATCTAACACACAACTTCCAGAGCTCCATGCGGCCGCGCATGCGCGTGGATATACGCGCGAAAAGGCCAGGACCGACGGTACGCGCAGCGGCGGTCGGCTGCGTGCGAGCCCGCGAAAAACAAAATCACTAAGTACGGCCGGTAGTACTTAGTAACGCGAAAAATGGAACAGCAGGAAGGTCTGTTTTACTGTGAAACTAATAAACACTGACTAAAAATTATTTAATTTGTGTAGTGCAAATGGATCAAGTCCAAGTGATGGAACAGAGTGAGTCTAGCTAATAATGCTGCAGTGCATTATACTAGTCTTTCCAATGCAGGGGTGGGATTGGCAGAGGTGGTTAGGGAAGTATTACTTTTAAAAGAAAAAGTGGAAGAATTAATGAGGGTAAGTGTACATTAAAGATTAAACAATGGAGTAAATTATTTATTATACAGGAGACAGAGGACGGTAGTGCGGGAGGGCAAGAGCAGAGGGGAAGAGGGAGGGGGAGTGGGAGGGGGAGGGGGGGAGGATAGAGGGGGGGAAATGGGAGGGAGGAGATAGAACGGGAGGGGAGAGAGGGGAAGGGAAGAGAGGAGCAGCAAGAAGAGAGTGGAAGTGGCAGAGATGGAAGAGGAAGAGGGCAGAGGGGAGGAAGAGGAAGAGGAAGAGCGGGAAGAGGATGGAGGGGAGGAAGGGGAAGAGGGTGGAAAGGGGGAATGGGAGGACTAAAAAGAAAAGAAGTATTTTATTACAAGTGTTAAAACTGTATTCAATCATGTCCATAAAACCATTATCATCATCTATCATACTCCCTTGCACATTATTAACGGCCGCATTTACGCGCACCTGCGCATGCGTGAACGCCGTATAAAATTTGAAGTGTATGGTCAGATCGATCTAAAAACGCAGCTGTAGCTCAAAAACCACAAAACTTTTGTGGGAGAAGTTAGCAGAGCACGTGCTCCAACTTGATGTGCAAGCTAGATGATGGCCGCTGGTCTTTCCCAGATCCCAAGATCCTGCGGGACAACTCGAGCGGTAAGTGAATTACGTAAGTAGCGACTATTTTCAGTATGTATGAACAGCCTGGGCTCTTCTTTGGCTGTTTTAGCAAACGCACGAAGGTGTCCTTTTCTCTAGGCATGCTATAGTACCATAATTATACGTACCTGGTAGTTTCGTGAGAAAGGCTGGAAGCCGACTCTCTTTACGCGTATTTCACCCACGCGGCGTGTATGTCTTCTTTCAAAGCTTTCTCTGTCCCTACAGGTGACGTCCTGGAGCCAGATGCCACTTGCAGTGTGTTGTACCACAGCTAGCCTTTTGCCTACATAGCCTACAAAGCTAGCCTAGCTATTCTACGAACAGCTGCACGCTTTTTTCAGTGCGTTGTCATAACAGCAGCACACACGCAGCAGACAGTGATGTTTTACGAAGTCATATATAGTGTTTGTGAGAGTGTTTATTGTTGGCAAATGAAGAGTTTTGATCGTTTCCTACATGGAGAAGCAGTGTGAAGTACCTGAGTATTATCTGTGCTGAAGCAGCTCCTTCGCTAGAGAGGAGACTCGCGTTGTGTGCGCGTGGGATGTTAGCGGTTTTTTATGGGGGTATATACGCGGTATTGCGTACTGCGAATTTAAAGAAGAAGAAGATGAAGAATATGATGACACGAAAATCGTGAAATCACGTATGAGCGAATTCTCGTGTAGGCGACTGAAGGTGCGCATGAAGTCTTGGGGGACATGAAAAAACATGTTTATAGCATACTAGCTCAGAGGAAAAGAAAGAACCTCCCCCACCCAAGCACACAAAACACAGACAATAACATACCCAAGCGTACAAAAACACAGACAATAACATATAAACAGAAAGAAAGAGGCAGGACCCTGGGTGCCCAGCCTTGAGAACCGGGGCGGTAGGTTAAAGAGTCTTTTATGGGCCCACATGTATATATAGGTAGATATGGGCCCGTAGACTATTGCCAGTATGTTTTGAAGGCCTAGTGAGTGATTCTCACTGAGTTTTTAGTCGTTTTGTACGCGGATCACGTGAGATTTCACTCGCGTCATCTAGAGCGTCTACCGACCATTTTTGTGACCGGAAGGGAATATAAAACGGCAGGAAGAAAGACCGCCACAGCGTGCGTGCGCGGGGTGAAAGGGGTGTGTCGATTTGGGCAGAATTACGCATGCGTGCAGGAGAGATGCTGAAAAACGCCGATTGGACGCCGAAGCCAATGATGTTGATACTAATCTTCGGTTTTCATATTACTATAATTATACCTTAGCTTAGTTTCTTCAGGTGTCAGATGCTATGAGAGATTGAGCTTCTGCTGGAAGTCAATCCCAGATCTTAGCAATGGCGATAACTAGTCACCCATGAGCAACAACAAAAGCTTATCAGGTGTCTATGAATGGTTCTTCAAAAGGTTGGAGCAATGTATAGTGGACACAACATTAATGACGTCGCGTGCTGTTATCATTAACGATAAACTAGTATTATTACAGGCATGACATCAGCATCATGCCCATACATCCATTTGAGAAACTCAGCACTTTGACATCAATTGCCATACAGACTCTAGAGTAAGACTAAGGAAGGGAGTAGCTAGGTAGCAACTATACAGTCACATATACTGCACCACAACCAAGGAGCCATCGCAACCTCTAAAGTGCAAATGAGTCAGAGCTGGAGTCAAAGTCTTTTAACTGTGTGCCGTAGTGGTTCACTCTTACTGTGTCTGGTTCACAGTAAACTCAGTGGATTTGTTACAGTAATATAGAGTTAGATTCTGAGAGTGTTTTTGTGTGACCACGGACAGCATTGCCATATATATACACTGGCCCAGGAGCAGGGTATTCCAGGGTGGAGCAAAATAATAACTGTAGTTATAATTGTTGTATGGGCAGCAGGTACAAAGATGCAGCAGAGTCTGCGTGCATACACATGCATCACCCACTCTCAAAATTAGCTACTGCTTCTGTTACAAGTACACTCCCAGATTGAACCTTTGAGATTAAAGATCATACTTCAGCATTAGCTGACAAAAATTTATTAGTAAGTGCTACGGCGGGATGCGCGTCATCTCAAAATGCGCGCATTGCGCATGCGCCAAACGTGACGCTATCAGGCCAGCTTTCCGAGCGAGCCGTTTGTGTATGTGTCTGCTGAATATAGCAGAGGTACAATGGTGTTTCTGCGACAATTACGAAGGTTGCTTCGCAGAGACGGTACTGTGAAAATGCACCCGAGGAAAAAGAGAGACGAACAGGTCGTTTTACAGCACATGGATGGGTTACTGCACGAGAGAAACATAACTTCCAAGCGATATCACGTGAAGGTTAGTGTAGCTATATACCTAGCTATTACAACTTCACAATTAATGTAGCAGCTTAACATGAAGAGCAGGTTAAATACACTAATGCAATGGTAGTGTTACCAGAGAGCGAGATACGGTACACAAAGCGCACACCTGGGCCTATTGCGCATGCTCAGTTCTTGCTAAATTACGACGCTCTAGGACGCGACGCTCATTTTTGTTTTTTCAAGGTTTGTGAGCAGACGGTGTTGTGTTAGCTGAGTAAAATACAAGCTAAAATGGTGTGAGGAAAACTGAGGAAGCTGTTTCGTCGAGACAATAGGGCGCACATGCACCCAAGGGAAAGTGGGGCGAACCGATCACTTGCCAGTGCATAGATGAGACCCTGCGCAAGAGAAACGAAACTTTTCACGTGAAGGTTTAGCTTATCTAAAGATTGTACTATGAGTAAATGTAGTAGCAATTCATTTGATTGGGAGTGATATAACTTAGCTATATGGACGTAGCTACGTATTATGGAAAAAGTTTCACAGTAGCTAGCTAATATACGATATAGTTCTGATAATATACATGCAATAGGAACTTCTGTCATTTTGTAGTAGGGAAGAAACGTCCATGAATACCGGCACTTGTGTTGGCAGCAAAGGGCGCGCACCTGCTCTTTATACGCATGCTCAGAGTGGTTCTGCGCGAGAACGTAACTTTTCACATAAAGGTTAGTGTACCCTAGCTACAGATCCCTGAGCAGAAGATAGAGTGGAGAAGTAACTAGTACTACTTACATTACATTCTGTGAGTAAAGAGACACTTGGATGGTGGGATGGGAAACGCGTATATGCGGGCTACGCTCTTGGACGCCGATGTTTTTCGTAGTGGTGTGCAAGACATGAAGAAATCGGACCACAGACCAGTGTGGGTCATGATGTAGACCTTGGTGGGATTCGAACCCCCAACACTCTGCTCTCCAGGCGAGCGACAGTAAAGTACAAGAAAAGTGGGAAACATTGAATGGAGCTGTCTTTTCCTGTGTGTCTGTCTGTTCAATACAGAAACATGAAGAGAGGGAAGTGAGACTATGTCTCAGCCTCTTTCACGTCAAGGATGGTAGCTGACTATAGCACTAGCAAGTAGAATTCCGTCCATATGGACGTGATATTTTGCAGTTGTCGGTGCGGCGGCATCCGCAACGTACGTATATAGCTATACGCCATCGCCAGACTATATTATAGCAATGCGTAAGCTGTTGTCGCCGGATTTCTCGAAGCGTATTGATTTGTCGATACAGTGCGGTGCATAACAGACAGATTATAATTTTCCATATTTACTGTGTCACAGTCATATATAGAATGTCTCAAAAAAACCACTGAATGTTGCTCATTTCTCACACTCAGTACATCGGATGCAGTCAGATTGCTTCACCCTCTCTACCTCCCGAGAGAGCCTCAGGACCATAATCAGGAGGGGACCGAGGAGGAATAAAGAACGTGTCTCTCTCATTATCACTCCACAAAGAATCTTTGTCAATGACACCATCTCCAGAGTGCGTTTCTACAGTCTTTGCAGAACTTTTTTTGAACTATAGCATGCTGGTTTTGAGTTTATAGTTATAACATGTTTGTGTTGCAAAGAAGGTGGTATAATACTCACTTCAAACAAATTGTGATACTATTGTCTCTACACTGCACACAGTGTGGTATAACCTCCTTCCCCATGGGTGAGATTGGGATGGTGTATGCTCGTCCTGAAGACAGCAGGCTGTTCGGATTGACTGTCAAGGACAGCACCACATCTGATTTCACTCTTTACCTGTACAAATGTACAGTGAGAGACTGTCGCTGTGAGGTAAGCCAGCCAGTTGCAAGCAGTGTCCATGACCCACCCAACCTCCCGTTTTGCACACGGAGGTTGTAAGAGAGCTCATTGACAATCACATGCAATTGTGGAATGTTTATTGAGCATGCACAGTTTGCGACACAACTTACAGTTGATTCTAGGGATGGAGTTTGAACAGTCTTATGTAGCTACCAACCTATGCTGTATGGTGTTTGTAGCAAACACATCTATATGTGTATATGACATTATTGTTTAGAATGTGGAGATCAAGAGGTCATATGAGACCATGTATGAAGAGTACCTCAAGACTGAGACTGAGGTGATCCATGATGAACTGGAACACACTCCTGATGTGAATGCTGTAAGTACAAATAGCCAATGTGCGTGTTTTGACTAGCTACAACAGTTATGGTAATATTACTACAGGTTGTGACAGTGGATGAAGAAACTGAGTCTGAGACGAAGACAAGTGTCGAGGATTGCGACACACTCCCTCTCAACAGCGACAATCGCTCTAGCTCCTTTTCTGAGTGTGACAATGAGGAAGCAAGCAATAATGCTGAGACGAGAGAGGACGAAGAGGACAAGAAGTGTGATTTCAAAAGATCACGCAAGAAAGAGTGAGGACAGTTGCAATGCTGAGGATGAGAAGGGAGATGAAGAAAATGATGTCGTTGGTTCAATCTCCAAGAGTGAGAAAGAAGACGAAACTGAGGTTGTTGAGATGGAAGAGGAAAAAGGAACAGAGTGTGACAAACAGGGTCATGGTAGGGAAACCGTTGACTACAATGAGGTCGAGAGTGAAGAAACTGGAAAGGAAAGTGAAGAGGCCACAGGTGAAGATGAAGGTCTTGAAAATGAGAAGGAGGTAGGTGGCTCAGAAAATTGTCCTTGTTCAGCCATCATCGGCCGCTGCTGAAAGAGTCTTTTCACTACTAAAATCTAGTTTTGGAGATCAACAGGACAAATCTCTTAAAGATTATGTAAAATCGTCACTCATGTTACAGTATAATAAGAGATAATTTTGTTATGTGGGAATAATTGCATAAATGAAAGGGAATAATCGGAGTAAAAAAGGGAATAATAGGGGGAAATCGCAAGCAGTGCAGAATAGAATGTAAAGTGCTAACCCTCGGCGAACTGCGCATGCGCGGTACCTCTAATTGATGGGCTGGGCCTGTTAGTCTGCGTTTACCCGTGATCTCCCGCTAGTAGCTCGCGTAGAGTGTGACACGGGCTAGCTACAGTAGTAGATAGCATGCGGGAGTCGATACACGCCCTTCGTTGTGACTTCTTGTGCCTCCGAGGTACACAGAGCAAGCGGACCAGGTCGAGGTAAGCTAGTGCTAATTAAAGTGCAAACCCTCGGCGAACTGCGCATGCGCGGTACCGCTAATTGATGGGCTGGGCCTATTACTAGTATACGTTTACTCCCGCTGGTAGCTCGCGGAGAGTCTGACACGGGCCAGCTACAGTAGTAGATAGCGTGCGGGAGTCGATACACGCCCTTCGTTGTGACGTCTTGTGCCTCCAAGGTACGCAGAGCAAGCACATCTTGTCGAGGTAAGCCCGCCGTGCTAGTTTGCAATGGCTTGTTCACTTGGTTTTCACGCCATAACTTCTGAACGCGGCACTTTTACGAAATTCGCCTATTTCAAAATAAAGCCAGTGTAGCTCTGAACCCGCTGGTGTCGTTATTTTACCTGTTTGTTGCGCGTGGTGGCAGAAATCGTGGTAACAGACGGACAGACGGACGTACAGTAGGCCTGCGTCGATTATTCCGGAATAATTTCGGGAATAATAGGTCCCTCTGGGAATAAGAATAATTCCAAGAATAATAGGTTGAAAGTTGCGACGAGCGGGCAACGGCGGCAACTCGGAACTCGCGGAAGGGCGAAGTGTGAGTGCCGAGTGGACGCGCGTCATGTTGCAGTACAATGATCGTGATGTTTATTTATGTGCCTGCTCTGTAGTACTGTTTTTTTTTCATTTTTGAAGCAGAATAATAGGTAAATTTCTGTGAATAATGGGTAAACTTTAAAGAATAATAGGCATGTGGAGTAGGAAATTCAGAATAGAATATCCGGACAAATTGTGGGAATAATAGTCTCAGGCCTAACGTACACAGACAGACCAACCTCGCTGCGCATGCGCGCCGAGGGTTAATAATAGGTAAATTTTGAAGCACATTAGGCCTAAGCCTAGAAGGAGGACCCTGATGATTACTATGTAGAGACTGGTGATGGTGAAAACCCCAGTGTTGATGGTGTTGATGAGGACCCTGATGATTACAGTGAAGTGACTGATCTTGATCTTGATAATGAGGAGGAGGACACTGATTTTTTCAATGAAGAGACTGATTATTACTATGACAAGAGTGACTACGATGGTCTTGATAATGAGGGGGAGGATCCTGATGATTACAGTGAATGACAATGATGATTAAGAAACTGATGAAGAGGTGACTGATGATGAGGGCAGTGGTGTTGAGAGTGAAGGAGGAATGTTCCGGTCTCCACGTCCTACCAGGAGTGGGTTCACCTACCTCTCCCCACAGCCTCTCACTCCTCTGACTCCTTCATCACCACCACAGCCTCCACTTGAGGACCTGGACACTGTGAGTCTCTGCTCTCCACCACTGTTATGACAGTATCACACTTACCTTCTCTTTTCTGTTGCTTTCCTGCAGCCGTTTTACTTGCCACGACAGACACCAAGAAAGAGGCTCTCACCGTACATCCTCAATCTTATCAAGCAGATTGAAGCCGTGAGTAATGGCTCTACACATTACTGAGGATTTGTGCTGTACACAGCATTAGCTACCAAGCTCAATGTAGTTTTGACTGGTCCTTTTTCTGCAGTCGCTTATAGAGCAGGACCATGATGATCCAGACAAAATTCCTGGAAATGAAGAAGAAACTGAGGAACAGAGTGTAAGTCATGCACCCATCTTGAGTATTGATATCAACTATGACTTGTGTTGCGTTCTTTTATGCAGATTTTCTAAGGACGAAAGACCACCGCTTAAGCACAAGCAATAACTTATTGCGTCTCACATTCACTGCACTGCTCATCATTTATTCTCAATCATTACTCATTCTAACACTATAAATCGCTGCTCATCATTATTAACCCTCGGCGCGCATGCGCATCGAGGGTTACAGTACTTGGGTCTGTGTGTGTGTGTGTGTGTGTGTGTCTGTCTCTTACTCTCAATCTCACTTCTCGGGTGTTTGTTCGTCTCACAAAGGATACGACCTACTTAACGGGCAATGAAGGTCAGAAATTTCGAACGGTTTTCTCTGAAACTGCTCTGTTGCAAAGCTAGAGCGCGAAAAGCCAATATGCAAATACACAACGGCTTACCACAGTCGGATCGATCCGCGTACTTCGGAGGCACCAGAAGATGCAACGCAGGGCGTGTATCGCCTCTCGCATGCTATCTAATAGTGTAGTTAGCCCGCGCCAGACTCTGCGCGCTCTGGCAAGAGACCACTAAAACTAAACCCAGCCCATCAATTAGTGGTACGGCGCATGCGTTTACTTACGCGTGCGCGTCACAGTGCGCCGAGGGTTTGTACTTCAGTGCTTTTCATTCTCAATCATACTCATTAATATTCTAACACTATAAATCGCTGCTCAATCATTTATTCTCACGCTTTATTTATCACTGCTCATTTGCCATTATTCTATTCTCACACTACTGCTCATTATTTATTAATGCTAACATTATTTTTTTCAAAAATGCAACCCTGGGTGAAGAACCATGTTGCTGTAGCTTCAGCGATGTTTATAGCTGCAAAATAGCCTGTGCTCAAAGAGTTGATATATAAATATGTGGTGTGTTTATTTTTTTGCAGATAAAGCATTAACCCTTTTCTTCTTTCTTCTTCTTCTGCTTGTTCCTAAATCTCTGTCATTCTAAACATCACAGCATCCAGCTTTTTGTGCTTGAAGATCTCCTGTTCCCTACTACAAAAGTGTTGTGTAAAGACACATACATGGTTGGTCGAAGACACATTCACACTTTCGGCATTGGGTATAAGAGTATTAGAACACATTTTGGCAAGCAAAGCCACCTTTGAACCGTAGACGCGATGTTTGCACATGCCCGTTGTGTTGATAATGACAAGCCACGCAATTCTCACACTACACACATTCATAACAACCTATTCTGCCCAGTGCAGCTACTAAAACTGGACAACAATTAGCTAGTACTGCAAAACTTGGCACACGGGTATAATGTAGCACTGTTAACAGTCGACCAGTCTATTGTTCTCCTGGCGTTCCTACATATTCAGTAATTTGCTTCCCGCACTCTGGCTGGGAGAAGGAGGCAATCTCCAGAGGACAGTCTTGGTCCAGTCCCAGTCTCATGTTCCCATGATAGGTGTACAGGAATGTCCCGTCATTGGCCATCCAGTCCTTGATCACCTCCAGCAGTGAAGGTATGTTCTGAGTATCACTCCTTCCAGTTAGCCTTGCCCTGAGGATTCAAAGAGTGTGGTTATCATAAGTCAGTATTCAGTCTTCTTCGAGGCACTATTACCTGTACAGAACGTAGCCCTTTTCAATGGAGCGACAGCTGAACTCTCCCAGATCAATCTCGGAGATTTTGAAGTCACAACTGCAATTCTTGTTGATGAGATTGGTTAGTGTCTGCTTGACATCCAGCTCCAGATGTCTTGACATATGCTGGAAAATCATTCATCATAACTGTGCTATACTCTACCTTAATTTCGGCAGCACTGAGTTATTATGACTGAACCTGGTTATAGCCAAGATTGTTTTGTGCTATATATTTTACCTTGTCTTCATACCACATTGAGCAATGGGGAACTGGGCCAAACTTTAGTTGAATAAAAGTCATGTCTGTAACGTAAATGATACGCATGAGATGATCACACCAGTCCTACAAAAAGCTAATGTCTTACTCAAAACGCTTAGTTGATATTCGCCCACATTCTGGAATACACCGGCTGAGCCAGGCAACGTCAGTTTAGCCCTGCACACATAGCTACCTCCATGGGCCATCTTCAGAGGGTCAAAGACAAGGGATCTTGTGACAACATTGGAGACAGTGCTCTGGTCGTTGACAGTGATGTCGTCGTGTTCTTCATTAATGATTGTCCGTCTGCTCCAATCCAGTCTACTGTCATATAGTGGTTGAGGTGAGCAGCAACCGCTGGCTGGAGGCTAGCTCTGCAGGTGACTTCAAATGTCTCAGAGTGGACATTCTTCCCAGATGTAGTAATGTACATCGGGCTGAGCTGAATGAAAAAGAGGGAAGAAAGTTACAATGCCAGTAGGTGTGCCTTCAGTTCCTAAGCGAACCTGTCCATGATGTGGCAACACACTGATAAGTGGTACCGGCAGCATTGGAGACCCTGCAGCAAAAACCTATGGTTCCCGGCAAGCTCGGCAGCATCCTTGATGAGTAGAGTGTTTCTGTATCTGGAATACGACTGACGCTCTGTCACCATTTGCATCATTTCATATCCCTCTCCATCCACCTCAATAGTTGACCCGTCTCTTGTCCACGTCACATTAGTAGGTGGGGAGTTCTGGGTCAAACAATCGACTGTTCCTAGTACACCATCACTACTAGCCTGGTGACGCTCACTGTAACTAATGCTGTACACAGATGGTGGACCTGTATCATGCGCAGCAAGCAAAAGGTTACTGTAAGAATGAACAATGAGGAACTCACTGGGCATTGAGATATATCCGATGCTGGTTTCAACAGTAACACCTCTACTGTCTGGCACTCACAGGTAATATACCGACACATTTGTGGGTGTATCTGCTTGAATAGCGTGCAATACTAACACCAGTGTTACCTGAGTTGTCCAATTCTGCTAGTTGTTGTAATTGAGGTAGAGTATTGCCTCACTCCATCGGAAATTTGAAGTATTCTCAGTTTCCCCGAAGTGGAGTTTGAGTAGCAGTAAACATGATATAAGTTGAAGACGAGGTCCCCCTCAAATGAGCTGTTGTTGCAAATGCTTGTCCAAATGTAATAGCTTCGCTCTACATAATCCACGTCTATAGAAATAGTAAGTTCACTGTTTAGTGTCAACAAAATTCCTACCCATCATCCTCATTTCCGTTGTATTGCTTCCGGTATTTCCACTGCCATCGGTTGCTGTACACGTGTGTACTCCTGCATCAATCGACTGCAATGTGGTCTTGGTGATTGATTGAGATGAGCTGCTTCTTGCAAAACAGCTGCTACAAGTCGAGGACCACTGATAACTGACTGATCCAGTGGGATGGTGAGCACGACAGGTGAGAGTTAGTGATGTGGCAGGTCGATAGTATGGTGGACTGGGCAGATTGAAATCAGATGGAGGGTTGTAGGTCACATCAATGGTTACTTTCAGGGCTGAAAAATAGAAGCATCATCATGTTCCAGCACATTCCCCATTGATACAAACATTTATATACCAACATACCAACTGAAATGCTGATTGTCTCTGCAGTGCGACTGCTTGATATCAGGTGGTTGTTTCGTTCCTGAGGGCCAACAGTGGCTGAACAAGTATAGGAGCCACTGTCCGTGGTTTTCAGTGTGTTAAATGTCACAGATGTATTGTACTTAAGGTGTAATCCCACCAGTTCAGACACTATGACCCTCCTCTCACTATCAGTGAGTGACGAGTGACCCCTCCATTGAGAGTTAATTGCCACGTAGGAATCCACCTCTGGAATGAGTTCTATTACACATGTCAGGACCAGAGAGTCAGTGGTAAACAGCTGCACAGAGTGTTCTGGAGCTCTCAGTATCGTCACTGTCGGCTCAGGTACTGCATTGTATGTCTATAGTTAACAGGGCTTTTTATAAATTTTCTTGTCCAGACTTACTTTGAACTTGGACTACAAAAGAAGCTTCACTTTTTGAAGGAGGGACCGCAATGTCCGATATGCACTTGTACACACCGCTCTCTGAGGTTCTAATGGAGTTAATTGTCAGTACGAGTGTACTCATTCCTCCATTCCAGCCACTGTAGGAGACGGTAGTGTCCGGATCATCTCTCATCTCCACTCCGTTTGGATCGACCCAACTCAAGTTGGCTTCTCTTTCAGACGACACATTGCACACAAGGATGAAAGACTCTCCAGCAATGGCTAGGCTTGATATAGCTGCAATGCTCGCTATGTTCTCGAGCGCTGAAACAAGAAACTGTAAACATGCCGAATCACGAAAAGCAGTTGTTCACGCTACGTACCTTTAACACTTAGAATAATGCTTTCTTCGGCCCTCTGCCCGTCCGACAGAGTTGCTCGGCAGGTGTACGCGGTCCCATCCAGTCCCATATTGCCAGGATTGAGGGTGAGCACAATGGAATTGTCGCCCATCACTGTCTCAATTGCGTCGCCTGTTCCGAGCCCGACAAGAAACCACTCCATCTTCGTAACATTAGCATCTCCGTTCCACGAGCAAACAATGTCCCAGGATACTCCGATGATCAGGGGCTCCTCGTGCCCTGTGATGTCCAGTTGGCCTGCACAGACTAAAAAA